TTTCAAAATTCCACACAAGCATCACGGCGAACATCTCACAGCTATTAGCGAGAAAGTGTCTCGCTCTAGTATCACGTGTTTTCAGTTCATGCGTACCAATACTCTACGGGCAATCTGCCCGTACATTTCTTCCACTTATTTATGAACAAGCTAAAAATATTAATTTGCATAAACTATTACTAGAAAGTTATATTTTTTTATATCTCACAAATGAGATTGCACAACATTTTACAATTCTTGTCATTGCATTGAATCTTTTTCATTTCCAACAAATGTGTACACTTACTGCTGTATCGTCGCATGCCAAGTTTCGTTTATTCAGCCATCGTCTTATTACTGATGGTAAGACTTCAACTTTACAACAGACGCTGGGCATAATTACAACCGGCAACTACCGGTAATGCCGTGAACGATTTTGACCTGAGTCAGCAACGGAACATCACCCGCCAGTACAAGCGACTACAAAAGGTCACTGGTGTTCGGTTTGAACCGGTGAACAAAAATCGGCACTCCACGCAAAATAATCACTTAAATTGGAACCCTTTAAGCCACAATATAATTCTAAAAATCATGGATTGGTGTTCGGTGCATTCAACAATGATGAACTTACCGAAAAGCCGTGTTTTTTCTATCGTTTTCATCGCTAACGTCGGTAGAAGCCGCCATTTTACTTGAGTGTGTTTGTGATCTGTTTCTAACCAGTGACGTCACCAGACAGGCTATAGAATATGGTCTATGATTGGTTGAATGTACCAGTCAGGGGATCTCGTTGAAATCATGAACTCGTTATATACTCGTTGGCTCAGATGTATGCGTCAATAATTAGAGTAATAATAATAAAAACAATTACAAATTAATAAAAAAATATATAGTAAAAATAAAATGAAATATATAAAATGAAATTGAACCAACGTCGTACATTACATCAGATTTTAATAAAATTGAATTTGCCTGTAATACATATTTGAACTTCGTATTATTGAAACTAAGCCGTTGTGATGGATTTTCTTGGAAAATGTAAACATTTTCGAGTCACCTGTAGAAAAGACGTTGCACGAATGTTCGAATCAATTTATATGTATATCACTCAACTTTCTCAGCAGATGATCTTGAAAGCGCAAACATTGTTCAATATATTTTAAACACTAATAAGTTGATTTAGTAAATCGAATGTGTGCGATACTTATTTCGCGCAACAATATTTTGAAAAAAAAAATGATTTTGCAGGGATTGTAGGTTCATTATTATTAATGGCACACACACACGTTCTAGAAATTATTTCAGTACCACTGTAATCTCAAAACAATGTTTACGTTACATGTTGTTAGAACATAGTGAATCCGAAATTATGTTTGTGTGCCTGCTATTAATAAACACTTTTTGATTTTTTGATTATTATGTGGGAATATATTCAAATACACTAGTTCAAGGCAGAACTATACATTATAACCGTTTATTATTGCAGGAATTACTTTGTTTACTATGCTTTCGATAAATGTATACAGAGCTATATTTGATTCGGAGTGGTGGACACACTGATTACATTTCTTGTTACAGTTTCTCAAATAATGAAAAAATAAATAAATTCATATTTGTATTTGATAGGAAATACCAACACAATCATTCCAACCCCAATGCGATTTCAAAACAAGACTACGGCGACTCACTCAGCGTATGATATCCAGTAACAGCAATTATATAAAACAAGCCTTCTATGAATTTCACTGTACACACAGTTTTTGTGTTTTTTTTAAATTTTATATCGCATGCGAGGCATATTTTATTGCTGACTTAAGACCATTCACAAAGAGACAATGCAATTTAAAATAATGTTGAGAAAGTAAGTACGCATAGAAAATAGTTCAACGTTGGTATTACACGTAATTCTCCAGCACTGTCTTGGCTTTAGTCACGTTTTAAATATAACCTCTATTAAAACGACACAATACCATAATTGCATTTTGTTTTTTAACTGAGTCGTTTAATTAAATGTTGTGAAATATTTTATACATGATATTATTATAGCGGTTGCTATATTACGTGTTAATTCAAACTTACAAAAATGATTTTATAAAAACAATTACGTGCATTTGGATATGCAACATGCACATTAGTATTCGAAATATTGAACTTGCAAAGGGAACTAAATCCGCCATATAGTAACACTTGTAAGCACGATGAGTGCCCACTCAATCGTTGTGTCAATATATCTTCCGGTAACATCATTGTTTGAGAACCCTACATCGGCTGTCGCATTAGGCTAGGTTGTAATAGATTACTATGTGCACTTTTACTGACTTCACAATTTCTACGACTGCGTTTGTCTCACTGCATAACGATTGCGTGGAGAAAATGTGTGAACCATCACTCGGTGGTAGTATTAATATTGTGAAGTGAGTATCTTTATATAAGACGGCTTTGTTGTTTCATATATTTGTAATATATTTCGTTTCATTTTGATTAATAACCCATGGCAGTTATCGGATGAGATGGCGATGACAGATAACGTACTACAAACACTTGACATTTTATACCACATACTTAGTAAATTTTATAACATATGTATTCCGTTATTTGAAGTGTCACTGAGGTCAAATCAGTCATTCAGCCAATTTACCTGATTTACGCCAATAACTTGTTGAGGGAACACGATTATCGGAAATATTCATGAACTGATTAGTTTGCCAGGTTTGTTTTATTTGTGAGAAAACTGGGATTTTGTAGCGATCTCGCGTGATTTCTAGTCGCGCTTGCCGTGAGTTTCGCCAGCATGCTCAGCTACGCGTTTTGAGACATTTGATCTGGGATTGCGCAGTTCGTCTCTCTAAAGAATCGGAGAGTAGCGGACTCTGCCGTGAGACGACGCCGCTTCGTTTGATTGTGTTACATATTTTGTGTGTTTTGTTAGTATATTAACATATTATGTACAGTGTATTTGTTGAAAGAGAATGGTGTTGAAATAAGCCTATACTCAATCAATGTGCAGCTCGTTTCAGTGCTTTAAAGTTAACTGGAACTCAGTGTGGCGTATGTGTTTGTAAAAATCAAGCTAGAAACCTACTCATAATTTTTTAGAAAGTTTGTCATGAATGGCATTACAGTGTTCATTGGTTTATTGTGTAAAATCCTGAAGTTATTGTCTCATAGCAAAGTGAAATAGCATTCTTTTGTGAGTTACAGTGACGTATTGGGAAACTTGACTGTCACACGCAACGTAATATTACCATAATTGGTATAGTACTGGTGTGATGGTTCAAATACCAAAATGGCAACAGTAACATAAAGACTTCCCTGGCGGCGATGATAACATACGGACACGGAGCCAACAGATGAGGTTTCAACTGGTACTGGTATAATTATACTCTGCAAACATCAAGTACAATAACGCGGTAAAACTCCACTACTCCAATAACTAGATACTTAAACTCCAACACAATTCAACGAGATCTCCGATCTGAACTCAGTGCTGAACAACTCCCCTATATATACCCACACTGTCTATAAATAGACCATTACATCAGCATACATAATGAGTCTGGAATTT